TTCACTTCAGGAAATGGTATAAAATGCCCAGATAGGGAACAGGAGGAACCTGTCCTGAAAATAATACATGGCATTTTTGGTGCATAATATGCTAAATATATTGACTTCCCACCACCCTGCAGCATAACTGTATCTTTAGCAGATATCCAAAAAATAGAAATGTAACAGGTGTGTCAGTAAAGAAATGCTGTCTATTTCCCTCAGAAATCAAGGGAAAACTCTCTTTCATGCTAATTTACATATTGCATCCAAATTAATGTTTCTAATTATAAGAGTAACAGGAATACAAACACAGATGCACAAATATGCACATACATGTATCGCTATCTCAATTTAGTCAGCTTCTTATTTTCCATATACACTGCTGGACTTTGATTTAAATGCGGTATTGTTTTGTTACTTTTTTATAGATAATACAGATAAAGGGAACCCAGTTTTCCTTTGTGGTTCAGCTCAGTCTTCTGTGCAAGGTAACACTAATGCTCATTCCTCATTTTAAAATGTTGGTTTAGCAGTCGTTCAGAAGTGCTACATTCTTGCAGTACAGAATAACAGACTTGGAAGGGACCTTAGAGGTCTTCTAATCCAACCTTCTGCTCAAGCAGGAGACTATACCATTCTGGATAAATGGTTGTCCAACTTTTCTTAAAAATCTCCAGGATGGAGCATCCACAAATTCTGGAGGCAAGCCATTCCACCGAGTAATTGATTCTGATTACTGATAGGAAATTTCTCTTTAATTCTAGGTTGCATCTCTCTTTGATAAGCTTCCACTCTTTGCTTCTTGTCCCACTCTCAGAGGCTGTGGAGAATAGATTGACTCCCTCTTCTCTGTGACAGCCCCTCAAATACTGGAAGACTACTATCATGTCACTCCTGGTCCTTCTTTTCCTTAGATTAGACATTCCCAGTTCTTGCAATAATCGATCATACGGTTTACACTCTAGTTCCTTAGTTCAAATCACCAGGACCAGATGGATTACACCCCAAGGTTCTTAAGGAACTGGAAGATGTGATCTCAGAACCACTGAACTATATTTTTCAAAGATCCTGGAGCACTGGGGAACTACCAGAGGACTGGAAAAGAGCTGATGTAGTTCCCATCTTCAAAAAAGGGGGGAAAAAGGACCCAGGAAATTACAGACCTATCAGCCTGACCTCAATACCTGGGAAGACTCTGGAAAAGATAATCAAACACCTAGAGCCAAACAAAGTCATTACTAAAAGCCAACACGGGTTTGTCAAAAACAGATCATGCCAGACAAATCTTATTGCATTCTTTGACCAAGTGATAAAATTAGTGGACCATATCATCAACATCCCAATTACCGCCTTTATAAGTTTGTAATTATTTCAACTATGCATTGGTATTTAACAGCACATTCCAGAACAGGAACCAAGGCAGAACAATGCAGCAAAATATGCTTTTCTTAGGTTGCTGAAGGGACTTGGCATTTGAACTTACAAGACACAAATATACTCTATGCTTGAAAGTAAATAATTTTTTTTTGTATGCTTGCGGTGATTAGAACATGGGGAAGAGCGGGAAATTGCCAGGGTTGACCTAACTCTAGAAGCCTGGGATTTACTTGAAATAGCAGCTCTTTTAGAAGCATCAATTAAGTAATTGGAAGAAGACAACATCTTGAGAGGCTGCAGGGCATATATTCTGATAAATAGGTTATTGTGTCTGATCACATCTACCATAATAAGCAGTAAGGTTTCCAAATTCCAAACACTGGTTCCAAAATATGAAGGATCTTTATTCCATCATCAAAATCCTCTATCCCTCTGCGTCACTCTGTTCAGACTTCAAGAAGTCCTTTAAACCAGGCTGCACATATTTAAAATTTAAGAAGAGACTAGACAGTCACTTGTCTGAAATGGTATAGGTTCTCCTGCTTGAGCAAAGGGCTGGACTAGAAGACCTCCAAGGTCCCTTCCAGATTCTATTCTATTCTATTCTATTCTATTCTATTCTATTCTATTCTATTCTATTCTATTCTAAAATCTGCTATTTTTTTTTAAAAAAGGTTTCCATTGAAATAAATAACTGAACAGATCTTTGAATATATTATACAGCTAGGCCTTTAGGCTGACTTAACAGTCATTTGTTTTCTAAGAGAATCCGGGAATAGATTGGTCAATCATTCTTTGAAACAGAAGAAATCTATCCTACATAACATAGAAGGGGGGAAAAAGAACTTCGATTTGCATACATTTTGCATGCACCAATTCCTATGCATTTTTTAAAAACGATGTTTACAATTGAAATAGAAATACAATCCATCTCATTATAACAAGAAAGACTGTGACTAGATGGCTGATCAGCAAGGCTATTCATTCTGTTACCAGATGCCATCAACTAATCAGCTGGGATTGAAATAGACAGTAATTCAGAGAGCGCAGAGATGGGCACTCAGATGTGGTTCCTGGAGGTCCCCAACTTCAGGAATGCAAGGAATAATAATAATAATAATATGGAAGGAACCCTGGAGGTCATCTAGTCCAACCTCCTGCTCAGGCAGGAAACCCTATACCATTTCAGACAAATGCCTGTCCAGTCTCTTCTTAAAAACTTTCAGTGTTGAAGCATTCAAAGCTTCTGGAGGCTGATTGTTGCACTGATTAATTATTGTAACTGTCAGAAAATTTCTCCTTAGTTCTAGATTGCTTCTCTCCTTGGTCTGTTTCCATCCGTTGCTTCTTGTCCTCTCCTTCAGGTGCTTTGGAGAATAGCTTGACTCCCTCTTCTTTGTGGCAACCCCTGAGATATTGGAACACTGCTATCATGTCCCCACTCGTCCTTCTCTTCATTAAACTAGACACAACCAATTCCAGCAACTGTTCCTTGTATGTTTTATTGTCCAATCCACTGATCATCTTTGTTGCTCTTCTCTACACTCTTTCTAGAGTCTCAACATTTTTTTACATCGTGGTGACCAAAACTGGATGCAGTATTCCAAGTGTGGCCTTACCAAGGCATTGTAAAGTGTTATTAACACTTCATGTGTTGTTTCTGGTGAAGGGAGGGGAATATTTATTTTATTTTCCACATTTATTACTATTTTTTAACATAGGTAGTCCTTGACATACGACCCCATTTGAACCCAGAATTTATGTTGGTAAATGAGAAATTTGTTAAGTGATTCTGCCCCATTTTATGACTTTTCTTGCCACATTTGTTAATATAGTTGTTAAATTAGTAACATGGTTGTAGTGAATCTGGCTTCCCCATTTTGGGGACACTTTGCTTGTCAAAAGGTCACAAAAGGTGATCACATGACCCTGGAACACTGCAACTTTCATAAATATGAACCATTTGTCAAGCATCCAATTGTAAATCATGTGACCATGGGGATGCTGCAATGGTCGTGTGAAAAATGGTCATAAGTCACTTTTTTCAGTGCTGTTGTAACTTTGAACAGTCACTAAGCAAATTGTTGTAAATCAAGGACTATCTGTATTAATATTTTTTCCCACAATCCAGCTTAGTCAACTTCCCTTCGCTCATCTTCCTTAACAAAAGCAAGGGCAGGGACACCTGACAATTGGGCCTAAACCAGTCTCTTTCATTCTAGTGCCCTGACGACGTTGCAAGAAAAACGTGTACGTGTACAAATTACAATCAATGTATTTTTTTTGTAAATTGGTTTGTGGGGTTATTAAAAAGAGCATCTCCTCTTCGACCTTAGTGTCTCTGTTTCCCAAAATTTTGCCCTAGTTTGATACTAAAGCAGGCCTCATACCCCCAATCAAGGTCTCCTCCTGGGTGTAGCTGGTTTTTCTGAGAGGATTTTAGCAACAGGGTATGTCTCTCGCGTTAGCACTCCCTCCTTCTTCGTGTTTATTCCCCCCCCCCCCTTTCTTTTTTGCTCTCTTACATGCTGGCTTCTTTCCTTTCTGTGCATTTAATTTCAAACGGGAAGCACAGCAAATGACTTGCTCTGCTTATGCAACTTCCTGTCTGGACGCCTCTCTCTTCCTTCCCTCCTCTTTTTCTTTCCCCCATGCAGCATTTCGTATCAGTTGTTTTCGTTCCCAAACGCCTGTGGTCTGGATTGCATATTTTAACCGTGGAAAAGAAGGTGCTGACTGTAATGTTTTTACCTCGTTTTGAAAAAGAGAGTCATTACTCTTATTTCACTGCAAATTGTACAGGAAGCCTCACAGCCCTTATCTATGGCTGGATTTGTGCTACCCTTTTGCCTGCTTTTAAAGCAGGGCTGAGCACCAGATGAATCTCTTCCTGTTTTCAGGAGACCCTGCTATGCGTGCACAACATAGGTTGTTTTCCTAGCCTCCCCCCCCCCCGAAAATGCCCGTGCATCCTTTTCTTTAATAATGCATTTGTGGATGCCACCAATGTGCTTGTAGACTGGCATTCAGCCCTGTGCAGAGTTTGCAAATTAGAAGCCACTCATCCTCACCACTGGGCTGACATCCCATAACCCAAGGAGAAAGAATCTAATGGTTTCCCGTGACGATCAGGTTCCCACGTTTCTCATTCCATTCCTCCGTGAACCCGAAACACCCGCTCTGCGTGGCCAGCACACCCTTTTTGGAGCGTGGCAACCTCTTCTCTCTCTGGGTGTGTGTATGGTCTAATACTTGCTTTGATTTATCCTTTTCTATTCAGTCCATCGCTCAAGCAGGCCGCCCACCCGCCTCCCGAGCAAACCATTAATTCACCAACCCTCATCATCATTAAAAAAACAAAACAAAAGCCTGAAATGACTGGCTATATAGGATTCCAGGGAAACTCCCGAGGAGCAGCGACAGAAGCTCCCCCTCCCCCTCTCTTCCCTTCCCCCTCCTCGCTCTAAGTCCTTTTCCCTCCCCCACCATTTGCAGCGCTTGCAATTTTAGCGCCTGCCTAAATAAATCTTTTTTTTTTTTGCACGATTCTGCTTTTTTTTAATGTTGTTGTTTGTTTGTTTGTGAACCGCCGCCGAAGCCCAGATGTGTTTTCCTGCGCCCTGCCTCCACCCTCCTCTTTGGAATCCAATCTGGTTTGTTTTCGCAGGAAGTAGGCGAAAGAAGGCAAGCGAGCGAGCGAGCAAGGAGGCCGGGCCTTCCCAGCCCGCCTTCCCCTTCTCTTGTTTCTCTCTCTGTGTGTGTGCGTAAGTGTGTGTTTGTGTGCAAGAGCGCCTCTCTTTCTCCCTGCTCATTTCTGTATGGCTGGCCACCTTTCTCTCCCCAGTTGCTGAGCGCCGTTGGCTGTTCAGAGCGGTTTTGGCTCCTTCCCTTAGTAACAGCTTTTACATTCTGCCTCAATTCCTCTTCAATTGAAATCACACACACACACACACACACATACGCGCGCACACATAAAGCATTACTTTTTTTTATTGCCTCCTCCTCCTTCCTTGGGACTTAATCTATAATTTCCCCCCACCGCCTCTCGCTTCCCATCCCCCTCCAGCAGCACCAGCTCTCACACACATACACGCACGCACTAAAACACACACACACACACACACACACACACACACAACCCTCACCCAGACTCGGGTCATAATTGAATACATTGCATTCCCCCCCCTTTCCCGGTGGCTACTTGAAGTCTTTCCCCCCCCTCCCTTCCCCCTTTGGGCTGCACCCGCAATTGCAAACCCATATATTATACCTCTTAGAGAAGGAGGAAGCTGCATGAAATATAGCTCTATGTGTGTCAGCGTGGGGGGCTTTTTCCTCCTCTTTTGCCTCCATTGCAAAAGGAGGGGGGGCGGAGAGCCATACTAAGCCATCAATTGCAAGGTAAGAAATAAAAAGAGTTTCTCCCCCCCCTTCCCCTGTGTGCATGTTTGTCTTGTCCCTCTGCGCAGTTAAATATCTAGTTACAAGCTAGGAAATATTTCAGGCGCCCCTAAAGTGTATCTTAAGGGGTTATTTCGAGGCTGTGTATGGGGGGGGAGTTCAGGGAGGGCGTTGCTGGAAAGGGAATTGAGGGAAGGGGGGGTAGGGTTGGGGGGAGGGGCGCCTGTGTTTGTAGCTAGTTGGAGGAAGCAGCGCGTGGGGGAGGGGCAGAAGTGTAACAAGCATTGCCCCCCCCCCTTGGGAGGGCAGTGTCTTTTAACTTTAATTTTTTTTCGACCTCTTTTTTTCTTCTCATCTTTCTGGAGGTATTTTCAACCCCCACCCCCACCCTCGCTTTTGACCTTTTAATTAATTAATAATAATAAATTGGTGGTAGGGAGGAGAAAGTGTTGATTCATCGCGTTTTGGGAAAGTGTGTCGGGGGTGGGGGAGAGAGAAGAGAAGCCTTTGCACTAATAAATGCAAAAGCCAGCAGCCATTATGAAGCAAGCTGGCTTGATTGCCTATTTTTAGAAGATTTGGGCCAGAGGAGAGTTTTTTATTTTGCATCGGCGGATATATACAATATTCTTCTTGCTGGAAGGAAACGGACACAACCGAGAGGCGTCTTATAAGAAAAAAAAAAAAAGACCCAAGTTCGGAAGTGTGTTTTGCGTGTGCGTGCGTGCAGGGTTGTTTTTCTTTTTTTTTTCTTTTTCCCCAAAAGAGAAAGGTCAGTAGAATTTATTTCTTCCCTCTTTGATTGGTAATTAAAGGGTGGGTTGAAAGAAAGTTTTGTTTGATGAGGTTTGCGCCTTAAATGTCTTGTTTGCAATAGGTGTGGGGGAGGGGAAGGAATGTGGCAGAGTGAACTCACACTGGTGGGGGAGGGGGAGAGGTTAGCGGCGGTCTTTGCTGTGTCTTTGCAAAATAATAAGGGTAAAGGGGGGCTTTTGATGGCTTCTTTCCACTTCCCCCCTCCGTTTTAAACTCTAGGTTGCTATGTCTTCTGGGATTATTATGATTATTATGATTATTTGTTTTGTGGACGCTGTTTTGGAAAGTGGAGCAGAAAAACCTTTTTAAAAAGTGTTCCAGGGGCAGAATCGTATTCTAATAGCCAAGTTCTAGAATGAACTTTGGTCTCTGGGAAAACAGTGGTGCAAAATTCAAGAGTTACTCGTCTATAAGGCCTAGTTTTGAAATCAGGGTGGCTTTACCCGGTTCTCGTCCACGTGTAAAAAGTCTCAAGATCTTACCAGTGAACCGTGTAAATTTCTTTTTTTAAAAATTGTATGATTTGAAAGCGGAAGATATATTTGCAGTACTGAGCTGGATCTAGTTAATCATCTACCTGCCATGGTAAATATAATTCACTTTATTATCCTTTTGGATCTTTGGTGGAAAAGGAGGAGGATTATCCAATGGCTGAAGAAGGGGAAACCAGGGGAAAAAGAGAGCCAAACTAGAAAAACAACGTGGCTGTGGGTTTTTCTGGAGCGTTGAAGTTTTAAAAACACTGAACTTTGCTTGATATATAGTGGTTGGAGAAAATGTCTATTAAAGGGTGTCCCTGAATTGCCTGGAATTCTGACTCCTACATGTGCTTCACTTCCTTCCTCCTTTTTTAATTTTTTTTTTGCTGGTGTAAAGGGAGTTGCATTTCGTTTATATACGGTATTATAGAAATCTCATTTTTTATCAGTCTGGGATTTGAAGGAGTGAGTGGGAAGAAAGTATTCTATTTAACCTCAATACTGTAGTTTGGGGTTTCTTTTTCAGTCAGACTTAAATAGAAGTTCAGTTTTGATTCATGAACAGGAATAATACAGAAACTTGTGGTATGTAATCTGTCTTGGCCTTGTATCTCAGTTGTATTTTACTTATTTACCATCTGAACATGATATTTTTTTCTCCTCTTAAAAGACATTTCATTCAAAAATTTGGGGAAAGTGTGGTGGATTTGGACTAGGCCACAAACTTGGAGTTTTGTTGATAAAATTAGATGTGTTTGCAGGATCTGAGTACCCATGCTTCACCAGAACATGGCTTGGTGCATTAACCCAGTTTCCTCAGAATGCCTGACACACTGAACCACAGTCAGAATTTTTAAGACTAGGCCAAAATGTATATGGGTCATAACTGGTTTCATGGAGTGGCTAAACTTGTTTTTAAATTTTCACCTATATAAAAGCATTCCATATTTTGCCCCTTTGTGGTGGGATTCAAGAATACCAGGAAAACAGCACAACTTCTTTCCCCTCTAAATATGGAAATGATTGAGAAGGAAAGATTTGATGAACCTATATGGACAAATATCGTGTTGGTCTTTAGACAGTTCTCATTATATCTTATAGAGATGTTGCAATTTAAAAAAAAATCATTGGACTTTACAAGAAGTTGATTCACAACCATTAGTTTAGTGACCGAAGTTACAATAGCACTGAAAAATGTGACTTATGACTGGTTTTCACGCTTATGATTGTTGTAGTAGCCTCATAATCACATGATCAAAATTCAGGCAACTGTCATGAATTTATGATGGTTATTGCATTGACCTGGGGTTATGTGATCACCATTTTGTAATCTTCCCAACTGGCTTCTAATTAGCAAAGTCAATGGGGGAAGCCAGGGTCACTTAATGATTGTGATTCACCTAACAACCGCAGTAATTTGCTGAACTGTGGCAAAAAGGTTGTAAAATGGGGCAAAAGTCAATTTCCTTGCTTAGCAACAGAAAATTTGGGCTCAATTGTGGTTGTAAGTTGAGGATTGTCTATACAAGGTCATAGAGACTTGGAACATCCATTAATGCTATACCATGCTTGATTAAACCATGTTTTGGCCTGAAACCGAGTTGGCTGACTTCCCAAAACATGTTACTACGGTATAACATACAGGCTTTATAAATCATGACCAAATGAATGGAACAATAGGCATAGGATTAAGTGTTATGGGTGAATCTGTAGTGTTGATATTTCTATTGATTTTCTTCGTAATTCAATATTTTGCAATGTAAACAAGCCTTTTCTTTCTTTCATTCAGGAAAAATGAAGCTTGGTGGTGCTTCATGGATATGGCTTAATGGCTAGTGGTAAACCATATGTACTATACAGAGTTGTTTTGTGGCGATGGGTGGCAAACAAATTTAATAAAAATAATAAATTTTCATATTTAAAAAATGGAGATTTTTTTACTAGCCAAGATATTCTTGGAGACCTTAATGGTAGTACATTTATGAAGGGGAAAGAAAAGAGGAATTCTTCCTATTATTCATAATGAACTTATATATTTTACAATTACAAAATATATTGTTGACCAACATCTTTATTGTTCTTTACTCATCGGACAGTTCTAGACAACTAGAGCAGTGGTTCTCAACCTGTGGGTCGGGACCCCATTTGGGGTCGAACGACCATTTCACGGGGGTCGCCAAACAACGCAGTCCGCCATTTCCCCCTCCCTTTTCCTTAGCTGTGCTACTCCCTTTTATTCTATTGGCTTTTGAAAGCCAATAGAATAGACTCTCTTGAATAGAGTCTAATTCTATTGGCTTTCAAAAGCCCATAGGAATTGTCCAGGCTGTCTTTGCCCTGCTGAGCCTGCCAAAAGTCCCATTCTGCAAACGGTGCTGCACCAGTTGAGTAGTCCTCGACTTACGACCAGTAGAGTAGTCCTTGACTTACGACCAGTTGGGGGTCGCGGCATTAAAAAGGTTGAGAACCACTGAACTAGAGAGAGGTTTAAGGTATATAATCAAATGAACAAAGATGACGGATTATGGATTCCATCTTTATGGAAGATTTTTACACCTATGCTTCAGTAGGTGCAGTTGTGATTCTTGTAAAATTCTTGTGGGTGAGAGATGAAAGGATTTGAATATTTTTAAATAATAATTGACCCACTTATGGGGGATGTCTGCCAATAGCTAAAGCTGTGAAAGTGAAATATAACTTTTCTGATAATATCCAAGTCTTCTGAGTTACAACTCTCATAATGGGATTGGGCGGCATATAAATTTTAGAAGTAAAAAAAATAAATAAAAATTTATTTCTAATGTTCCATTGGCTGGGTTGGGTGGCAACTAAAGGAATTATAGCTCAACATTTAATCAAGAAAATAGGAACAGATTGGTTAAATAATATTTTTTGTAGAGAAGTAGGATGTATTTGAGATTAGAATGGAGAAAGTCAATACGTACAAGATGGTGGTCATACTCATAATGGCATGACCGCCATCTTGTAACAGGTTTTTACAGCATCCTGCATAAAAGAGGGAATTTTTATTGCAATGATAGACTGTGGTCTTGGCCGTTTTAAGCACACATTTCAGCATGCTGCTTTTAGAAGATACACTACAGACAATATTTTTATGTATACCTTAGGCACCTGCATATCCAACCAGTTTTGACTGTGTTCACCTAGCAAGGTCACATAAAGAACTGGCAGATGTCTTTGCACATCAAGTGTGACTTGTTTGTTTTGGTAATTCAGTGTATTGTACAGATTTAGCTTACTTGGTTAATGTGTGATTGAGTATATACTGTAGCATGAACCCAGAAAATGAGCTGATTCAGTTAACTGGGTTAAGGACTGTGTAAAAACAGATGTGGCTTCCATTGTGATGTAACAGTACAGTAAAAAAAAAAAACCTTAGTGTTCATAGGCTTCCTTTTAAAAAGCTGGTTATAAGAAGGTAAAAATATAAAAATTAAAAAAAAAATAACAAAAGTCTTCTTTGTGTAAGACATATTTAGAATAGAACTGGAGTTAATTATTGGATTTAAACCCTACCTATCCATTAAAGAAAACTTCTATTTTGGATTTGCACACTATGTTAGCACATGGCTTGTTGGTTGGTTTTCTATCTTACACAAAGCTGTGCTGTAAATCATAAGTTTCCAAATGACATTCATTGAGTTCCCCTAGCGTAGGTTGCATTTGCATGGCATGCTAAAGACC